TTACTTCAATTAGCTTATGGGTGTTAGTAATTATTGATTTAATTATTGTTTTTGAAGTGGGTTCAATTGATAATTGAGTTTTAATTCATGAATTGTAGTTGCAAATGCAGTTCTAGTCTATATTTTATGCTTGCTCGAGAAAGAGGTTTTAGAATTAATATTATCAATTGATGATTGTAGTGATTGGGTTGTTGTGGATTCAGCTCGAGAGAGTGAATCTTAATTCGATCATGTCTATGTAGCTCGAAAGAGTAGGTAAATTGAGGTTTTGGGATATTTATAACTATTATGCTTGTCGAGGTTCGAGAGAACTCTCTTGATTCGTGATTTATGATCGAGAGATGGCTATTACATCTATAGTCTAGCCTACCCACTAAGATTCAACAACTCCCAGTAATTAGTAATCACCCGTATAGTGAAATTGGCATTTTATCGATCATATCTCCAAGGATTCCTTTCTACTTGATTACTCCCATGTTTTCGTAGTTGTTAGTTGACAAATCTTAACCCCCCATTAGACACTTGCTGTCAACCCCTATAATTTACTTTTATTGTTTCGATAATTTATATTCCTACAATCGATTAGAACACGTTTGTCACTTCATAACTGAATTCTCTACCATATCACTCCTTGTGGGATCGACCCAACTGTTTGTTGGGTTTATACTAGATTGTGATTGCCTACACTTAAAATTGGATGAAGTGTATTTGAGTGTTATAAAAAATGGCGCCGCTGCCGGGGAGCGGTGTTTAGAATTCTTTTAGTGAAGTTTAGGTGTGATCTAATCTTCTTTGTAGTTGAATCGACTTACTTTGTTTGTGTTTGTTGTTGGATGCTATTGAACAGGTGATGACATGAGCGTGAACGGGAGTAAAACCAGCCAACTTGCACATCATGATGACATTGGTAACTTGAACGATGTCAATGAGGCTCAATTGGGTAGTGTGGGTACTATCTGGTAACCTCCAGTCGTGGGAAATGTTGTATTCCATGTGACTAGCACAATGTTCCACCTTATTACAAATGAAAGGCTTGTTTGGAGAGATGGATCATGAGGATCCCCATGACCATATTCAGAATTTTGTGAATGTGTGTGGTCCATTTTCATTCAAGAACATTTCACATGAGTCAGTTCGACTTCAGTTGTTACCTTTTTCTTTGTTGGGGGAAGCAACAAAGTGTCTAGCTGACTTACCAAGGGACTCAATTACCTTTTGGGACGAGCTAATTGAGGCATTCTACATATGATTTTCCCTCATTTGAGGATGATGGCATTGAGAGATAATATTCAGGGTTTCAAATGCTTATATGGTGAGCCAATCCACGAGACTTGGCTACGATTCCAGAAATTGCTGCTCCAATGTCTAACTCATGGAATCCCGACCAATATCTTGTTACAACATTTCTATCGGAGTCTTGATTCAGTCAACAAGGGTGTGGCTGACCAACTCGTACAAGGAGGAATCATGCAACAACCATTCAAAATTGCATCTACTCTGCTTGATGGGATTACCAAAATCAATCATGCTTGGTTCACGAGATAATATTAAGTGTATCTTTTGGCCTTTAGGATGACAAAGAACAAATTGAAAAGGACCAAGAAAGGGATCAAAGCATGGCAAAGATGAAGACCCAAATGGATTTGTTGTCAAAACATGTCATGGGTAGTGGTTTTAAAGCTGTGAATGCGGTTGGTGTTAGTCGGGTGAGCCCCGATGATGCACACTTGGAAGCTCTATATAATGAGGAAGTGCATTTTCTGGGAAATCAAGAAAGAGGTATCCAGCCGAACTATCAAAGGCTGGGTGGGAACCAAGGTTGGAATAGAGAGCGTGAAGGAGGTTGGAGAGACCATGATAGGGAATGGCGTGACCGTGGGATTAACTTGAAGGAGGGGGATGGCGACAAAGAGAGATATGTACCTCCCCATGAGCGTCAAAAGCCTAAAGAGCAACGAGCTAACCCGGAAAACTTCTGAACTAATGATATGCTTGCACGCATTCTCAATAAAGTGGAAGACGTCTCAACTCTAAACCAGATGGTTACTTCTCATTCGGTGTCCATCAAATAGTTGGAAACCCAAATGGGTCAGTTATCATCTCATTTGAACTTAAGGTAAAAAGGGGGTCTACTAAGTGATACCTTGGTTAACACAGAAAATGAACCTTAAAAGCGTATCCACTCATGCCATGACGTTAAATAAGGCACTTTTTAGGAGGCAACATAAATTTTTAAGCTTTTATTATTGTTGTTTGAATAACGGGTGTTGAATGTGCAGGTTGAAAAGTTAAATTTTAGGAAAAGGAATAGTTAGGCAAGCCCAAGTACCAGTCGCCGATTCGCCGAACAGGTCGGTGAGCCCGAATTGGATCACTGTTTGACCAACTAGTTAGCTAGTGGTTCTTTAAAACTCGATGGGAAAAAGAGCCACTCAGCACATCACCGAGTGGATGGATGACATAAATGACTATCACCGATCAACACGCGAACTGAAGAGTCATGAAGGCTAAACTGTTTTAAATTAAAAAACCTCTCATATTTCATAGTTTTCGACCTTTATACTTTCACAACCACATCTTTTATATTTTTGTACTTGTTATTCGTGCATTTTCATGTGGAATCAGTTACTCGAGGTTGGACTTTTATGCATTTTGCTTTGAATCATTAGCCTATCACTCACTTGCTTGATATTGAGGTTGGTTATACGAACCTTGCCTTCGAATTTTTTTGTAATTTCAAATGCATGATCGTTGCCTTGTCATTATAATTTGGTGTTATCGATTGTTAGAATGTGTGTTGGTAGTGTTTGCCCTTATCGTGCTTCAATTTTGTGTTTTTAGCCTTTAATTGTGAAATCCCCTGTGTTTGATTTATAAAATTGTTGGGTTGTGTTGATTTTATTGTTGGGTCTAGTGTGGGTGAGGTCTTAGTAATCCCATTTGTATCGATCGTCTAATTTTGCCCAATGATAGGGATGGTGACGTCATTCTTAAGGGCAAAAGTCATCGATTGTCAATTTTGGCCGAAACGGGGGAAGTCTGAGTACCCCGAGGTCATGGGTAGTATGGGTCTGAGCTTAATTGCATAGAATAGGTGCTTAATTTTGTTCTCGTGGGCTGCGAGCTATAAATTGAAGGTTGGGATCATAATCTGGCACATTGGACTATTCGACGAGTTGGGTCGAGCTCACCGAGTGGTTCGGCGGTTTGCCTAACGACCCACTGATCGAATTTTTATCCTTCAAAATTGTGGAATATATTCTATAACATTTGGCAATACATCTGAGCTCACCGAATGTCCCTTTAGATTGCCCTTCTACCCCCTAGTTTTTAGAGAATGTTCTGTAACATTCGGTGAGCAAAATTTAGTCTGCCAAATGGTGTCGACAATCCGTCGAAAGGGCCTGGATATCCCGACTTGTACAAATTTCTAAAATTTTTAATTCTAGAACATTCGGCAAGCCCGACTTGGCTCGCTAAATGGGTTCGGCGACTCGCCAAACTAGTCAGTGAGCTTTCCTGCAAAATTGTTCAACTTAGAAATTTTTCGAATTAAGTCTAACATATTTGGTTTTGTTTTGCAGGAATGGCTAGACCCAAGGTAGCCGAAAGAAATCAACTGCCCCGCAAGCGTGCTAGGGCATTGTTATAAATGAGGGTGTTGCACCCTCCCGGGATGCATAAAAAAAACTTCCTCCACAAGGGGGGAAAGGTAAAAGGAAGGGGCCCGTACAACCGAGTCCGACAGAGGAGAGCTCTGATAACATGGGTGTCTATGAAACTCACCTCACCAATTTTGAGTCAAATGGTAAGGGAAACACATGGAATAGATCTCCGATCTCCTCTTCTAAGCTGGAAGACGACCAAACTCTCCAGCTTAGGAGAGCGGAGCTGCGCTCCCAATCCATGCATGATCCATCCAGGGTCCCAATTCCACCTACTCCTCCACATCCAACTTCGATTGTTGAGCAGGTTCCTCCGATGCTATTAGTTTAGGCACCCTCACCCCGGTCACTGAATAGATTAAAGGCAGAGGGTTTGAGGATGATATTAGAGGAGAAGTGGTTATCTACAGATGGTGTTGTAGACCAGTACCCGAAGGTGTGGATCACTATTAAGTTCCACAAGTTTGAGATTTTCACTACACCTTGAAGCCCTTATATTCTTACTTGGGTCCGGGAGTTTTATGTTGAGTATGGGAAGCTGGTCCCTAATGGTAAGAAGAAGGCCAGCTCATTCAAGTCGGTCGATCATTTAGTGGTGCTGGTGCGGGGCCGGGAGGTAAAGTGCAGCAGCACCGATATCAATGAGGTGCTTGGTTATACGATGAACATGATCCACTACTAGGTGGATAAAAAATACAGAAGAAGACCCTAGATGATTTAAAGGGTTGGTTGGCACCGTTGATCTCCGACACTACTCCACGGTAAATTGAGGCTGGTGTTCCTATTGAGAAGAAGGACCTGAACATAGCTGCCAAATATTGGTTCGGGTTCATCAGCAACACATTGATGCCATCATAGAATCGACTGATACTCCGGCATTCGAAAGCTGCTTGTTTGGGTTGTATCGTGGACCGGGAGAGACTTAATCTCGGTCTGATCATAGAGCATGAGATGGTCGTGAGGGACAAGCAGAGCCAGACCTATCTCCCGTTCCCAGTCTGGATTACTGAATTGTGTACGCGGGCTCATGTTCTTTTGATTGCCAAGACGAATGTAGAAGTGACTCCCACTTCCTCTACTAACATTCGGAGGATAGAGGCAGAGTACATGAGGGATGAGACTGATAGGACGTGAGTTGCACCAGAGGATACGTCCTCGATAGTTGATGTTAAGATGTTGCCGACAGAGGCAATCCTTCCCCCTCGAGCCAGTGATCCTACAAGCACCCCTGACAGTTCAAATTCTGTACATTTCTATTCTACTACTGCTCCCCCACCTACTACTGCTGCTGCTACCTCTTTCCGACCCTCGATTACCTAGGCCATATTATACAAGATGGGCCACCTAGCCCACTCTACTGATATTTGTGTCTCCCGAGTAGAGGCTGTTGTTTCTGGGCTTATTCAGAGGGAAATTGTTGCTGCCCTAACCCCGATCAGGGCTAAGTTGAGAGAGCATCGGGAGAGGATCGATGCCCATGGACCAGCACTAGATGCCCTCACCGTGAGAGTTGAGGCTTGTGAGCAGGGACAGGGTGCCTCTAAGGATGTGATGGCCTTGAAGGACGATATTGTTGGGTTGCGCCGAGAGGTGGATGAGCTGAAATCCACCGATCTATCAAAGTTATTTGGCACTGTAATCCTTCCTGAGGTTCCAAGTTCAGATTTTCCAGCCAGTTCTGAGATCCCTCCAGCTACTACGACTGGAGATGCTACTAGGGATGAGGCAGATGATGAGACTGAGGTTGAGACCGATGAGGTGGAGCTGGGTGTTCGAGATACAACAGTTTATGATGACTTGGAGGATCTTGAGGGAGCTATGGTCTAGTCAGTTATGGCGGCTTCTTTGAGGGACACTTCGATGGTGGGCTCCAATGGAGCGAAGGGTGATTTGGAGCCGGGCACTGATGGCCCGACAAATGAAGTCACATATATGCAGAGTTCACCCCAAGCTTAGCCTGGCAGGAGATTTTTGACTCCCTTTCTATTTACTCTTTTGACTTGTTTTACTGTTTTCTTTGCATTTGAGGACAATTGCTAGTTTAGGTTGGCGGGGTGAGGTATTTCTATATCTACCTCTTTTTAGGGTTGTTTTATGGATATTGTTATTATTTTTATGTTTGTGTGACTGATGGATGCGTTGATATATATTGGTTTTGATCCATTGAGTTGGTCCTTTGTTTTGAATGCAAAATGTTGGTTTTGAACCAATTTAAAAAAAATTGCCACCTCTTGATGTGTGTGAATGTAGATGTTCTCTTGTAATTTTGAGTGTCGGTTGTGATCAATATCGATGATTTGAATAGTGCTCTCGATTGAACGATATGTTTGTATGACTCAAATGAGGCAAATTGAGTTGCATAAGTCATATGTGAACTTCTAGCATCTCATTGTGACTAGCTGGTTGTTGAGTTGACCTCTTGTGATGATCGTTGCACGCTAGCTAAAAATTCTAGAGTCTTGTTGATGATTGTGCTGAATGCCATGTGTGGTGAGATTTTCTTGAAATATGTGCTTGGTAATACCTAGAATTTTCCCCGTTAGTCTAATTGATTAATGTAAGCAACCGATTGAGATGATCTTAGGAACAATTTGTGAAGAGAAAATTGATTTTATACCTCTTTGTGACCACCTTGTGAGAGTGTGAACCTACTTGGCACCATTTGAGCCCATCCCTTTCTTTGGATGATACTTGAACAACTTTTACCCCTTTGTCCCATCACCTATAACCTTCATGAAGTATTGGTTCGTGTGAATAACCAACTTAGGCCAAAAGCCTAAGTTTGGGGTGTGGTGAAAAAAGAGGAGAATGAAGAAGTTTGAGAAATTCACCCTTGAAGGATCATGTTGAAAAAAAGATGGAACACCTCCATGTAAAAAAAAGAAGAGAAAAGTGCAATGCAGAAAAAGATTGAAAAAGAAAAGAAATGTTGAAATAAAGCTTGTGAAATGGACAAAAGAAATGGGTTATCCAATGAGTCATGCTTAAATGAACATAGGGTGGATTGTGAAAATCATAAAGTGCGAAATTGATGAGTGTGAGAGTTGTGCTTGGTTCCAAAATCATATCCAATGAGTCATGCTTAAATGAACATAGGGTGGATTGTGAAAATCACTAAACCAAATGATCATACCTTTACCCTCATCCCCGTTACAAGCCTTGAAAAACCTTTGTGATCTTAAGTGAGCTGAAGATAACGTTGATTGGAAAATAAGGGCAAGCCTCTTGGTAGAGTCATGCATGTGTTTATCTTTGAGAGTGTGAGAGTTGTGCTTGGTTCCAAAATTCTAGAAATTTGATGAGTTTTGTGTGAGTATGGAATCATTCTTGGTGTGAGGGCATTTGAATGCTTTTGTTGATATTGAACTTGCATTTGAAGCAAACATTGGGAGCTTGAGTTCTATTTGATAATGGTTAGTCACAGTTTGAAACTTAGCATGCACATTTGAACAATGCATGAGTAGTTTGAACTTCTCGTGTTCATTCATGTTGAGTCTTGAGTAGCACTGTTTGTAGACTTCCTGGTTGAATTGATTGATCTTGTGTTTTACTTGTGGACAAACAAAAGTTTAAGTTGGGGGTGTTGATGAGTCTGAGATTTCAACTCATTTAGGGCTTTATTTTCATAGTTTCATTGTCCTCAATGCCTAATTTATGCTCTAAACTGATATTAAAGTGTTGATTTGAAGTAATGAAGGCAAAAGATAGGACATTACCAGGCAAAAAAGGAGCGAAAAAAGCTGAAGAAGATGAAGAAAGGCAATCCTGGTGATCACCAAGCCCACTCGATGAATCGCCGAGTGGTTCTTCAGCTCGCCAAATGTTATAGCTTGCCAGCCGTGGGGAAAAGCCAACTTGGCGATGGATATGGACAATCGACGAGTCACCGAATAAATCAACGACAATGATTTTGATCGCTTAAAATCACTATGAACGATAGAGAAGCCACTTGGCGCATCGTCGACCTGGTTGGCAGGGCTTGACTAACTCCGCTCATCGGTCCAAAAGCTGAAAACCTGAAGGAGTATAAATGCAAAATTTTAAAAGATTTCGAGAGTTCCGAAATTTTGCTCAACTGCTCTGAGTTTTTGAGAGCTTTTACTTTGAGTTTCTTATTCCAAACACTATTCTTAGAGTTTTCAAGTTGGGTTTTGATTTTTAGTTAATTTGAAGAATTGTGAAGACTTGGACTTTTTTACCTTGCCAATGGAGAACATAGTTGGTAACATTTTCCTACTTTTTATAATGTGTGTCTAAGACCCCTATTCTTAGGGGTGTGATTATGTGATTAATTTCTTCAATTATCTTATGGGTGTTAGTAATTACTGATTGAATTTTTGTTTTGAAGTGGGTTCAATTAATAATTGAGTTTTAATTCATGAATTGTAGTTGCAAATGCAGTTCTAGTCTAGTATTCTATGCTTGCTTGAGAAATAGGTTTTAGAATTAAGATTATCAATTGATGATTGTAGTGATTGGGCTGTTGTGGATTCAACTTGAGAGAGTGAGTCTTAATTCGATCCTACCTATCTAGATGAGAGAGTAGGTAAATTGAGGTTTTGGGTTGTTTATAACTGTTATGCTTGTCGATGTTCGAGAGAACTCGCTTGATTCGTGATAGTTGATCGAGAGATGGCTATTACATCTATAGTCTAGCCTACCCACTAAGATTCAACAACTCCCAGTAATTAGTAATCACCCGTATAGTGAAATTGGCATTTTATCGATCATATCTCCAAGGATTCCTTTCTACTTGATTACTCCCATGTTTTCGTAGTTGTTAGTTGACAAATCTTAACCCCCCATTAGACACTTGCTGTCAACCCCTATAATTTACTTTTATTGTTTCGATAATTTATATTCCTACAATCGATTAGAGCACTCTTATCACTTCGTAATTGAATTCTCTATTGCATCACTCCCCATGGGATCAACTCTAACTCTTTGTTGGGTTTATACTAGATTGTGATCGCCTACACTTAGAATTGGATGAAGTGTAGTTGAGCGTTATAAGTCATTGTATGTCATGTATAGTCCTTTTAGCATGATTTCATTACTCTTATGCATTATTATCATACTTAGTACATTGCATATACTAATGCATATTTGTGCCTCTTGTCTCATTAATATAGGGTCTGACGATCCTATCTCTCATACTCATGGCTAGTTGATCTCTTGACATTAGAATATTGGTGAGTCCTCATGTTCCGAAGATACAAATACTCTAATAGATTTTCTTCTTTTTTCATATCTTAGACATTGTATGTGGCGCATGGGTTACATCCCAACCACTTTCTTTTGATGTAGTTGATGGTTTGTTGAGACTATGTTAGATTTCTACTTTGTCAAGCTCTTTTATGATATAATACTATTTTTTTAAATCTGTATTTTTATATTTATTATGATATATTCTAAGTGGATTGTATAGGGCCTTTCGGGGTCTATATGCCATATTACACCTAGGGTAATCTCTAACACACTTTTTCAACAAAGAGACATGGAATTTCAGATATACCGATGCTAAATCATTAGGCAGCCCTAATTCATAAGTAACCTTGTCAATATGCCTCAAAATATGATATGGGCCCAGATAGTGGGGACTAAGCTTTCATGTCTTTCCAAATATCAGTACACCCTTCATGGGTGAAATTTTCAAGTAGACTCTATTATCAATATTAAATTCTAACATCGGCATAAGACTTTTGCCGACGTTGAGCCATTCTTAACCTTTCACGAATGTGTGACGACCCAAGGGTACACCCTAGGAGTAACATGGTGTGCTTGACCCCGAAGGGGTCTCATACAAGCTTTTAGCTTATCATAACATAAGATAATAGAAAAGTACGGAAAATTTAATAACTTTTATCCATACAATCGAAAACATTTTCAAAAAGCAAGAGGAAGTCTTTACTACACTTTTGTCTCAAACCATCTAATACAACTCTAGAATAAAACTCTTAGCACAAAGCCCATAAACTAGTCTCAACATGAAATAAAAGACATAAAGGAAATAATGGATGTTGTCCTCGAAGCTATGAGGACTCACCAAATCTTCAACTCCTGGCAACTTCTAGAAACTTATCTCCAAGAGTAGAACTCAATCTCCACACCCTATATTTGATTAGAATGTAGGCAAAGTATGCGTTAATACAAAATGTACTAAATATGTTAGCTAGCATAATATCATAAGAGCATATCATAAGGGTTAGTCAACATAAGACATAATCATATGAAATACATCAAGAAACATCAACTATAAACATAAAAGACAATAACATCATAATAAGCAAAGTCTTCAACATAAGCATCACAAAAACATTTATTAAATTCTTTAGTCATCTATACCATAATAGAACTATTCTCAAGTAACCTCCAAAGCATACTTGTGCAATGCATAAATAGCATCCCATAATCCCATCCAAGCTAAGTATTCATTTTTGGTCACCTAAATCATAATTCATATGCATGGTTAAGTCTTAGGCTCTTTTACCATAAGGGAACTATACCCCTAAGTAACCTCAAAGCACACTTGTGGAATGCATGAAAGGCATCCCATATTATCATTCACACTAAGCATAACCTTGAAGTCAACATAGTCATACTTACCTCCTTTGGTCTCATTCTTTAGCTTACTTTATATAGACAAGGGAACTACCATCCTTAGTCAATCATATCATGGAAGGCAACTATATCACAATTCTATCTCAAGATACATTACTCAAAGGAACTCTTTCTTGAATATCCCTAAGTCATACTTGTGCAATCCATGAATAGCATCCCATAATAATATTCATGCTAAGTACAACTTTTAGGTCCTTACACTCATA